CGGTACTAGCTTCTGGAGTTCGACTCTGTTGAAGAAATTTTATCCTCATAATATTAACATTCTTAGCTTCAATCAAATTTATTTTCCTTTGTCATTTAAATATTATTAATAATATTAAATACAAGAACAAGAATGCGAAGGATTAGTTTATCAATTTCATATATATATAGCTTTAAAACAAGTAAAAAATTATTTAAAAATTAAAAATTATATTTTGCAAAACTCTTTCTTTCTTTCTGCGTTTGTTTTGTGTGTATTTATAGCTCCACTTACTCTGTTACTCGAGGAGGAAAACTGTCGTCGTATGATCATACTCTTTTCTAAAGACGAATCGTCGATTGCTTCATTCTCAGCTGCCACAAGTATTCCGTATTCAGGTCGATATTCCAATAAATCCTGATAATGTGAGAAGTACTTCATTCTTCCCTGCTCGAGTAATATAATAGCATCCACTTCCTTTATGTACTGCAGCTGATGCGTCGCCAAAATTCTCGTTTTTCCGACCAGGTATCTCTGAATGCATTCTTGAAACAGGTGCTTGCTGACATGTGCATCCACCTAAAATTTCAAACGAAAAGTCCTTTATCAGGATCCATTTTCAAAATGCAAATTTCCGCATCATTATTGTTCATCAAGCTCAAATTGCGTAAATTATACATCACGCCTGAGAAAATGAATAAGAGTAAATAATTGACTCGTTCAATTACCCACCGCGCTCAAAGGATCATCCAGCAAATAGATGTCCGACTGCCTGTACAAGGACCTGGCCAAGTTGATCCTGGCCTTTTGACCGCCGGACAGCGAGCTGCCCCGTTCACCCACGATAGTCTGGTCACCCTGCGGAAACTGCTTAAAGTCACGCAACAGAGCGCAAACTTTGACCACCTTCTGATACCGTTGGCGATCGTAGGATTGTCCGAAGAGTATATTCTGTCGGACGGTAGCACCGAAGACCCAGGCTTCCTGGCTGGCGTAGCTGACATCGCCGTTGACCTTCACCTGACCTTCCGTCAGGCTGATCTCTCCCAGAATCGCGGACAGAAACGAGCTCTTGCCGCTGCCCACCATGCCGATCACCGCATACAGCTTACCCCTTTCTATTTCCAGATTCAGATTCTCCAGGGTATTCTCTGATTGTTTCTCCTCCCACTTGGCAGTAACGTTAATCATGTTAACAGCCCAGTTGTTCGTACCATATATGGATTTCTTTTCTATAAATAATAAAATTTTATTTCAAGTTAGTAGGTTTTTCAAAAGTAAATGTTTAAACGAAACTGAAAATTTTCAAGCAAAATATCTTACAAGACATTTAAAAAATTTTAGAAAATATCTCTATAAACACCAAAAGAACTATATTTAAAAACATGATAATATTAACTTCATTCTAATATCTTTAAAATATTATTTTGTTAATATAAATAATTTTTTCTTTCCTCAGGTTGTACGTTTATAATAAAAATTAGGAATATTTAATATCCTTTAAAGATTTTTATATATATAATATCTGTATATATAAAATAACGCATTTGCTTTTACAATAACAAGCTGTATTTATCATTAATATATAAAATAAATTGTATAAAATATAAATTATAGATTTTTCAAAAAATTCTTTGAATTTTGAATCATTACCTCCAATAGAATTAGCGGTGTTCTTCAACAAATCGTTGGCAACAATTATCGGACCGTTAGGATTTCTGTGGTCGCTATTCTCATGCGAGACCTCTCCATGTGATACCAGCCGATTCTCCACATCGTCCTCGTCGTCGATGTAGGGCAGATCCGATTTGGAGATTCGCTTCACATCCGAATTGATATTGGCGTTGGCCGCCTTGGAGACGATGACGTTGCTGCCCTGGAACTCGTCGAACATGAGGAAGGTCCGAAGCCTGCGTATGGCTACCATACACTCGGCCAACTCGGCGAAACCGCGAATGAACATGCTGGTCATGGCGTGCGCGAGGACGTTGAAGTAGGCTGATACGACGAAGACCTTGTCGGCGGTCATATCAGGCCCGAACGCCAGCATAGCGACGAGGGTGCAGTAGAGCGCCATCCGAGTTGTGAAGAGACTGAAGGTCATGTAGATGCCGCGGATGTACGAACTCTTGGTGACCACTCGAAGTTCGAGCTTCCGCGCCAGCTCGACCATGGCGCAGAACGGTTTCTCCCACGCGTACATCTTGATCACCTGTACCCCGGAAATGATTTCGTCCATCAGCCGGACTCGCTCGTCCGTCTTGATAGCAGTCTGGAGACGGAACTTCGATGTCAGTTTGCCGGAGTAAGCTAAAATCGCGAGAGCAAAGGAAACTGGTGAACATCTGCGACAAAATGGCTTATCGTGTAAATAGTCTCCCCCAGTCGGAGCGGGTAATTTTCAATTTATTTTTCTCCAAGTTTTGAAAAAGGGGTCTTTTTATATAAACTCAACTATTGAGTTGACTTGCGAGACTTACATAGGATCGGCACGACCATTAAGAGCGCGGCGATGCCGATGAGACCGGCATAGTTGACCTCCCGATAGAGAATATAAGCCACGATCAGGGCGGAGAGGGGTGCCGACCACATGTAATGAATTAAGTAAGTGACGAATTCAAACCTATTGACATCGTTGGCCACTAGATTAACCACTTTTCCGGGTGCTGTCTCGCCCAGCGCGGTTGTGCTCAGACGCAGAGCCTGCGAGACAAGAGCAAAACATCCATTATATCATCTGAGGATCAACACGCTGACAAATCATATCGCAGAGGAAATATTTAAATCACAAATTTTTACCAGCACATATTTATGTTAAAATTGGCTATATCGTTGATTTGATCTTTCAAAAGCTATAAAGTGTATTTTATTAGAAAATTTGAAGGATTTAAAAAACTACTTTCTTTTCTAGTTTTTTTGTTATAGATTTTTCTTTTCTTCTCATTTTTCTTGTTGTGGAGAAATGTTCATTTTAAAGAATTCAGCAGATAAAACGCGTGCGAAGCGGATCTTCGCCACTTGCAGTGCCCTTCTTACACATAACTTCATCCAAACAGAACAATAAGTCACGATAACGTCAAAGTAACATTAAAATAAATCGTGATTGAAGACTTATAAAAAAATTTTAATAATCATTTTGGAGCCATTTTGACGTACTGTTAATGTCATAACGACTTTAATTGTTTTCTGTTTAGGTTTATTCATTTTCTCCTACGTTATGTACGTTCGTCTGGATTTTTGCATATATTCCGACCAACCTTTCTGTATATCACGGAGCAGACAGCCGCGCGAACTTTGGCGCCCACGTGGTAAGCGCCGAAGAGCGCCTGATTACCGCTTATCGCGTTCAAGCCGGTCGTGATACAAATACCGGCTCCAAACCACAGGGCAGCCTCGTACGACCCTATCGATTCTTTCTGATAGTTGCGCAAAAAACCGCCCAACAGTAACGGCGTGCCCAATCTGCGAAATAAATTTCGGTTGTTAATCCTTTATGTATTAATTTTATCATAGATTATCTACACTAGATCATCTATTATTGTTATAGATATAGCTTGACAATAATCTAATAGCAATTATAATATTATTACTGTTGTTATAATTATTATAATGATAATTACATTACTATACTATAATATTATTATTATTATTATTATTATTATTATTAACACAAAATTTATATTTTTTTACATACACTGAATTAAAGTTCAAAGCATTGAGCTATTTTTATTTAATTTTATCTCCTAAATAAGCTTTAATTACAAGTGAATAATGATATAAATCCATATTATTGCAATTGTATAATACAATAAGATCAACATTATTGGAAGAGAAATAACGTTTTGCTATATGTAAAGCAAGTGAAGTATGAAAGACATATAAGATAAGAGATAGCAAATACCTTATCACAAACTCGTTGAAAATCTGTAGTATTCCGAGCATGGAATATTCCCATAGGAATGTGCGGAAAATGGTCTTCAACAGACTCGGACTGCGTTTCCATTTTTTCGAGTTCTCCAACTCGATGTTCCATCGTCTGCAAGTATGCATACCGTCGCGTTACTATAATTTCTACGCTTTTATAAAAAACCGACGCAAAAGGAAGAGAAACCTGCGTATACATCTTCGTCGCTTTGTTCCCTTTTCTTTTTCTTCTCTTTTCTCGTATAACGTAATTTCAATACTCACTTTTCTAATCGATCTCCGAGCAGCTTCGCTCGGTCGGCTTTCAGAGGCTCATATAAGTCTTCTACTTCTAAATCTTTCTTGTATCCTGTTCTGAATAACTTAATGGTCCACCTGTTTCAAGAGACAATATGTGTAAATTAGATATCTGCTTACCAAGTAGCGTTAGATTGCAGACGACGTAACGATAAGAACACGGCAAAACTCGGAATTAGAAGGGATCAAAAACAATTTCGTGTGGAATTATATTTCGCGGCATGACATTGCGCTTTCATTATATTAGCCTCGTGAGATGCAGCATCACCTTTGAAGACAAGGTAAATTTGCGCGAAGATAAAAAGATTTGAGATAAAACTCAGTTTTATGTGCCAAGTAGCACATACGTACATTTACAGCACGCACTTTGAAATGTCGTGACGATTCGGCTGTTTCTCGCATCTAAGTGCTGATTGACGGAACAATTAATCCTTGTGATTCAAAAGTTGAATATGCAAACATCAAAAATTTAAACATGCGAATATATTTACAGATGTCTAAACACTTATTCAAAAATTATTATAAAATTATCGAAATTTCAAATACCCGAACTTTTTCTTAAATGTAATACAATGTATAATTTTTCTGGAATATATATAGGTGCAATAACAAAGGATAAAAATGTATAATACTTCAAAAAAGTAATTGTAGTCAAAGACGAACTTTAGTCAGAAGTTTTGATATCTATAATTCAATTAATCGTAAATCTAAGGAACAAATCTATATAACTATTCTATTATTCAACTTTTGAATGCGCATTCAAGCGCTTAGACACATATCTAGACTTCGCGAAGAATCGAGCCCCGAAGAATCTCGTCGTAAAGAAAGTCTGATGATTCGGAAAAGTTGTGCGAACTCACCACCAAAGTAACACCGATACGATGTTCGCCTTCTCCCGCGGATTCGGCTTCGATTTGATCTTCGTTGAATCCATCGGTTCTTACACGCGGCATTAACTCGCCACGAGCTGACACTTCCACGGTTGAAGAACGATCGATTCATCGGATTAATTTATTAACGGTTATACACTCCGACGCTTTTGCGTCGAATAATCGCTCCTCTTTTCCGAGTGAACGAAAAAAAGAATTCCTTCACCTATTTTAACAATTTACTGCAGATGTCAGCTCTTCTCTCTTCGATTGCCACAAATTATTAACAATGTGAAGATCCTTCTCTGAACACGTATGGATTTGTCAGCCATCCGGTCCGACGTCGAATCGACGTCTATAGACCGATCATTTCTGCCTGGGGAAAGATAATAAAATTAAAATTAGAATCAAAAATAGGAAGAATTTGGAAATTGAAAATTGGAGAATATTAGAGTCACAAATTCAATGAGAAAGTGCAAGAGAAGAAGAGAGAAAAAAAAAGAGGGAAAGAGAAGAAGAAAAAAGAAAGAAAGAAAAGAGACTGAGAAATTCTAAACATCAAATTAATTTTAAAACAGTAAAAGATTTCCGAAACTTTTCTAAGTAGCGTGTTTTCAAGAAAATTTAAACGTGTAGTAAAAATCTGTCTAAATATGTAGTAATATTTCTTTGAAAACACCATGTATTTTGGCAACTAACAATAAGCCATTTAGGGCATGTTTATATAAACTTTTTTACTTGAAATAAACCAAAGAACTGCCCCCTTGAGTATAGCAATATACTTAAGAAGCATCCTATATGTTATATAATATAAATTTTTATAAACTTTTATATTCTTGTACATAATATAAATTATATATATATATATATGATACATATTTTATGCATGTTTATATTTTAATTGTTTAAATATTTTTTATCTCTTATACATAAATTGCATAATAGTAAATAGAATTCTAATCTAACTTCTAATGTAGATTACAGATCACCTAAGAAATAGGTTCTCGGATAGGTATTGTTATATCGTTAATTATTTTTATTTTTATTGAAAACACGTTTATTTGACGTAATTAAAACGACAGTCATTTGTAATTGTTGCGATAAACTTTTTTCTTCAACGTGCAATTGACAAATTGAGAATTCCTGCAATTATGTACTAAAATATTAAGAATACGAAAACAATAAATTCGGAACAATTACAAGATTGAGTCGAGAACTTTGTATATGCTTTAAACTGATATTACTTTTGAATGACTTATATAATTTTTTTTCATGTGCAAAATAGCCTGTAACGATAATGCGACGAGTAAACGTTTCGTCGATAAGATTTTACTTCAAGATACAAGTCGTTTTGCTGCGAGCAGTAAGCGAAAAGTATAGCGGAAAGAAGTTAGAAAACATAATAAAAAAAAGGTAAAACTAAGAAAAAGACACTGTCACGCATCCTAAATATTTTAATCAACATATGTATGTATTGATAAACAAATGCAATTACAAAGAACCGTTGTCATTTTGTTTAAATGCGAAATGTTGCAACTTACCACAAGTTACAACACATGTTATGCAAATCCGATTAACACGTGTGTCAGGGCGAAATGGCAAAAAATTTCCTCGATACGTTTAATACTTTAATAGATAAGCATCTCGCTGCCTGATAAGGGCCTGTGTTGATGAAATAATGCGGAGTTATTGCAGCTAATTTTTACGCGCGTGATCCAGAAAATGGGAATGATCATCATGTTTGTACATAGATCGCACCATCAATGCAGCGAGAATATATCTTCGGATTTCGTATATATATAAATAAATCGCACACTTTACATCATAATAATTACATAATAATGTATATTTAAATTTAATACTTATTAGTATTAAAAGAAGAGAACGCGCAGTTAAGTTGTAATTTAATAGTTATAATGACGATCTAATGACGATAATGCGAGGGTCAAAAATATATGGGCATGATTTAAGTTTCTTTATTTCTTCACTGAAGGTTACTGAACAATATATCTGATTTCATGTCTGATATCATCGTCACTATCTCAAGCATTTTATCTATTGTACATATAGAGTCTTGCGGGGATTAATTCAGAAGCAAGCATTAACGCAGCCGAACTCGAGTAGAAGTCCGCAGAAGAACGACAGCGCGACAACGGTACACGTATATGTATATATATATATATATATATATA